ATATTCATAGATTTCTTTTTCCTATTTACGCCTAACTACTTTTCAAATAGTATCATTTAATATTGTATAAGAAAACAACTGCCTCAAATACTCAAGATATCCGTTTAGGTTCGACAATGTTGTGAATAATAGAATAAGTAACCATTTTAATTATGCTGTAAATGTGTTTCTAACTGTTTTGGATGTGTTACCATATCCCCTATTGGAATTATCAACGTATGACAATGAAAGTAGTTGAGATAAAAATATATGCAGGTTTATCTCTTATCTCTTTGTTTTCTTTAGTTTCATACGAAATATTTAACTTTTAAAAACTAAAAGATTCTGATAAACTATGCAGGGACTATTTCTGCGAATTTCTTGAACACTGATGAAACTATTTATCTGTCTGATGGTGACTTGAATGTTTTATCGAACTTCTTTTGTGCTTTAGAGAGATAACACAGGTCTGCGAATTTAAACTTCATAAAAGTTGTTTTGGTTTGAATAACGGACGTTCCATAATTCAGCTACGCAGATTTCAAAAATAATATTATTATTTTTTTCTATCACGTAAGGATTTTTTATAAATCGGAAAGAAAAACCTCTTAATTAGATCAAATTATTATTTCGTTTACCACAATGAACAGTTTTTATTATTATGTTTGTTAACAAACATACAAACAAACTGAAGAAAAGATAAGAACATTGATGTCAAACGAATATGTAACCTCATTCATCCTGATTTTTAAAATGAAGACTTAGTCTCAAAACTACGTGTTGTGGTCTTTCTTTTATGTATTGCATTATGATGTTTTGTGAAAAATCTGTACGTGATGGAGAAAAATGGATATCATTTTTCGGATTCAGCGTACATGAATTTCTGTAAAATATGTAAAAATTTCAAAACAATAAAACCATCGTAGATCTGTGTTATTGGCACCAAATAGTATCTTTTTTTTCTGATGGATTTGTTGTGGTTGGTAATATCAACTGTCAATCAGTTAATGACATCGAATAATGTCTTTTGATGATGAATTTATTGTGATTGGTAATATCACTTATTGTTCAATTACTGACATCTTTTTTATAATAGATTTGTTGTGGTTTTTTAATATCACCCGTCGTTCAGTTATTGATATCAAATAGTTTTTTTTATGATAGATTTATCGTGGTTGATGGTATCATGTGGTTGAGATTGTACATTTAGCTCCTGTTTATAGTAGTTGATTCAAGTAAATTTTAATAAATATTTTCAAAAGTCTATTTAATCAGTATAACTGTGTGCTTTCCTTATTGTTCGTACGAAGAATGATTGACTTGCTTTATTATATCTTATCATGTTTGGATGGTAAAATTATATCGAATAGGTGTTCTTGGTATAAAATAGTGATAAAGAATGCTATAGTAGTGTTGGGCATGGCATGACCAGGTTTTAAGGCGCATGACTGGCAATTTGAGGGTCACGAATTCGAATCCTCGTCTCCTGATATGCTCTTACTATATGGTTGTCGACTGGTGCAACAATCCACGTGTAAAAATTCATGGCTTTCAAAAATACCGGCTGACTCCCACACTAGGTGGGATTATGGTCGTAATTGAGAAGGATGGGGGAAAACACAAGCTTGGGTCTAGAGCCATATTTACTCAAATTGTGTAAAACGAAACCAACTTCAAATAATATAAAATATATTTAAAGATTAAGGAGTTTCATTTTTGTTGTTGTTGAACCTATTAAGAAAGCAAAGGAAAGTTCGTGGCAGGGATTTAGTTTTTAAAGGAAAGAAACTTTCCCAAACTAGGGTGTTCAAGGATTTGGTTATCCCCTTTCGCCCTGCTCGCGATTAATTATCTGTTAAGTTGAACTTATTATCTTGATAATTCGTTTATATCTTAACGTAATATTAACAGAATGGGATAAACTTGGATTTCTGCTTGAAGATTTACTGTTCATTGTTTGTTTGTTTCTTTAATTATGCACAAAGCTACACAAGGGCTATCTGTGCTCTGCCCACCACGGGTATCGAAACCCGGTTTCTAGCGTTGTAAGTCCGGAGACATACAGCTGTGCTACTGGGGGGCTGTGCTCATTGTTTACAGTCATGTAGTAAAAAGCTAACCGTAAGTATTTCTTGCATATAGATTATATTTTATTCTACGTACCAGAGCTACTGAGGTAGAGCGCCTTATATCGTAAGTTACTGATAGTTAAGGCAGCGTATTTTAGCAAATTAGAATTGAAACTTGGATGCCACATAAAATGACACATTAGAGATAATAATAATACCTGTTTCTTTGGGAATAAAAACACATTGTTACGTCTTTTAAATTGGTGCTTTGGTGAAATATTATATATATATATTTATAAATAGAGGGAAAATGTGAGTATTTCCATGTAATTTTCCATGTTTCAGTAGAGTCCGAAGTATTTCGGTCTTTATTCTTGTCTTACAGTTAATATACAAGTTGCAAACCGCAAACAGTGCTTGGGAAGTTGCTTGGTGTACCATAAGAAAACACTATACGTGAATTTTAAAATCAGCAACAAACAGAAAAGCTCACTGGATTGGATACTTTTAACCCTCAATTAGATTACGTTTGTTTACATTTTCCAGAATATATTTCAATCTTCAGCGTCATTTTTCACGAAACTCTCAACAAGTGACCATTCGTTAGCGGGAGCTGTTATTAAAGGCGTAGGTAGCTGATAGTTATATCAAAAGATAACAGGTTTCATTCTTAAAAACCGTTATCAGCTATTAAGATCGTATTCAAGCAAATAAATCGTCAACTTAGAACATTTTTGGTTACATGTACACTTACCTGGTGACGTAATTATATGTTGGCAAAGTATTTTAAAGACGACATTATTTTTCTAAAGAACAATTCTCTTAGAGCTGGAGAATCCTATTTGGATTCTACCTCCACCATTTGCTAGACGATTCTACTCTACACTCATGACTGTTGTACAATACTTCGTTTGGTTATACACAAGGACTTTATTTGATTGTACATTTGTAGTTATTCATGTGTTGAATTTACTACACTAATAGCAAATCTACGTGATTCGATTGGACAGTACAATATGCTCTATTATCATATAACTTATTTTCCAACTCACTACAACATTAGGTATATGTTTTACTCTCTTCTTGTATATGATATAAATATTTCCAACCTAGTAAAGT